ATTGAAACTCAACAGTAAGAGAAATGTGCTAAAAAAATTACAGCTAACATAATGAATATTTGACACAAAACACTGAAACTCAACAGTAAGAGAGATGTGCTTGAGAAACTACAGCCAACTCAACGAATACTTGACAGAAAATACTAAAACTCAACAGTGAGAGAAATGTGTTTGAGAAATCACAGCCAACATATCATTATTTTTATCCAATAGAAATTATGCTAACAGATTTGCAAAGCTCTTTTGTTTGACGTCCATCATTGAAAGACCAAGATCAGTGAAGGGTGAACGCATTAGTGACATCCTGATCATGGTAGTTCTAATACTGAAAGTGCTCAAATAATGTTTGTAGCCATTTCTAAGCTCTGATGTATAATGTACAGTTGCAAATAGTGATTTGCTGTAACTATTTATGCAATTAATTGATTTGCTTTGTTTAGACTTTTGCACAAAGCTACACGAGAGCTATCTTTGCTTGCCATCCCTAATTTAACCCTGAAAGACAAAAGGGAAGGCAGCTAGCCATCACAACTCACTGCCAACTCTTGGGCTTCTCTTTTACCAACAAATAGTGGGATTGACCATCACTTTATAACACTCCCATGGTTGAAAGAGCGAGCATGTTTGGTGGTACGGGGATTCAAACCCACGATCCACAGCTTCCGATTCAAGTACCCTAACCACCTGGCCATGCCAGGCCCAATTAATAGGAACCTGACACGTGAAACAACAGTCATAAACCAAGACAGCAAAAAAAATAATTTTTGTTTGTACAGTCTTTAGTAAAGGAATAGTTCAAAGTTCTTCATTCTTTCATTTTTAATTAATAATTGGTTGATTACTCAGATAATAGGCAATTTCAACTGACCGATTTTACAGTTGATAAAGTGATTAATGGTTATTAATTATGCATTGCACCCCTACCCTCATGCAACAACATATTTCATAAAGCTAGAATTAATTTACATACAGACTTGCATTAAATATGTCAAAGGTGCTCTTTGGTCTTAAAACAAACAAACTCATGGTAAACCTGACCAATAAATGGTTGTCTACTCACACAAAAAACAAATTCCTAATAAACCTGATCAATAAATGGTTGTCTACTCACACAAAAAACAAATTCCTAATAAACCTGATCAATAAATGGTTATCTTCTCATAAAAAAGAACAAACTTCTAATAAACA